AATCCCTAGATTCTAAATCAACTCCAAATGGTCCCGAATTAATACATGATAGTAAACAAGTCCTAGTCATACTCTATCAAAAACCATTTCCTAAAACAAGCTAGCAAATACAACAATCTAACTAAAAATGGGATACAAAAAAAGCTTGAAATATATCTATGGGGCTACATATAAAGTTTATAATCTCCACACTCTTTGGCAGTCGAGTCTATCATACACCAGATATGCCATCTCAACAAGCAGTACACCAATGCCCAAGATCTGTTGCCAAGAACAATAATACCATTCTTTTATTTCCAATATGTTTCCAATCCGTCTTTGTTCAACCTCAATTCTAATAATGTCATACAATTGCTTTAAATTTTCCTTGGCAACATCTTTTGTCAGAAAAAAAAAAAAAAAAAAAAAAAAGAAAAAAAAACCTTCTGTTAGTATTTCATTTATATTCCTCAAGTGCTCAAGCAAAATAATAACTTATTTAGCCAATCACAACTTAAATCTAATTGAACTAGGATTTGCCAACCTATGGTACACTAAGAGTATGAAAAGTAAAAGATGTTGGGTTTGTGGCTAAAAAATGTGTGCAGAACTTATAGTAGAATCATTGTCTATGTTACTTTCTGTAGTAAATGTATTGTTGTTCACCTATATAGGATTTTCAACCTTCCTCATTAGAACCTTATTGTAAACATAGTTTCAGCATAACAATAGTTGCCGTATTACCTGAGCAAACAGTGGGCTGTTAAAAGGTCGAGAGTATTGATGAAATGACTGGCATCGTGAAAATTCTTGACTCATTCAAGCATAAGTGTTCAGGGTTCCTTACAATCCTAAACAAATATATATTAGTTTATCTAATAGCAAGAATAAAAAATTGTGATAATTCATTTACTAAAAACATTCACATTAATTTTATGATACATTTTAGATGATGAGCCATTGTCGTTTTTATATGGAGACGAGCTAGTATGTTTCTCCACAATCTAAACCAATAAAAAAAATCAATAAATAAACCTTAAATCAATTCATTGAATAATAAATAAATACTTTAATACCTTACAATAAATGAATTACCTGAGATTGTTGATTTAAAGACTTTCTCTTCTTTTGTAGAGCCTTCTTAATTGCTGATATGAATCTTTGCCTTCGCTTTGATGATTATATCATTCTTTTTATCCATAACATGCCTAACTTTATTTATACCCTGATTAGTGAATGGGTACAAATCACCTTGTTTATGATGATCACCACTAAATTCAAGTTTCCTAATGTTCTGAACTACTTTTCTCAATTCTTGTGCATAGTTTAGAGCCACCTTATATGATCCATCAACCTCAGCTGCCATAGATGATATGTTAGTGAATAGAGAACACAATTTCTTATACCGCAATGTTGCTTCTAAGTTTGCATCTTCTTGAACATCATGCGTACGATTGTCTTGAACTAAGCCTTCTTTTACTAATCTTGTCCACCTTTTAAATATAGATACACTTGGTATTTCATTAACATACATGTCATCTTTAAGAACCTTTATCATGTGGCTACACAACACACCAATCATCTGAAAATTTCCACAACTACATAATAATAGACCATCAAATCTCCTCTTTACTTGACGTTTTCTAGATTGGCCTTCAACTATAACTATGTACACATGAAATCCACCATCCTCAATGCAACCATTTATATAAGCCTCAATTGCCTCTTCGAATTGGTTATAGAACTTTTCAAATATTGCTTTGGTATAGATACTACTTACTTGCACTAACATCTTTGTCTTAATCATTCTTTTAGGTAGCTTTTTGCACAATGCATACTCACATTTTAACTCTTTATGATGCTTGTCGTTAACAATGCTCTCAAAATATTTAAAGAACTCTGGCAAATTATGATTGGACTTCAAGTAACATTTTAACGAAGTGTTAAACTTTCACTAAGCTGTGTACTCCTCATGCCAGTAGACTACTCCCATTTTACATATGCCATTGCCCATTTTCTTCTTAATTCAAACATACTACGTAACCAAGTGTTTTCATGAAAATTATACTTGGATAACATGTCATTCCAAGCTTTGATAAACTCATCTTCTTATTTGTAAAAGTCCATGAATTTACCCAAAACAGTCTTTCATCAACTGAACCTGTTAACACACCGCTGAGATGTTTCACTGCATTTTATATAATATGCCATGTACAAAGCAATTGACAATTTCCAGGCATCACAAATGATAAAGCTTTTGCCACTGCTACATCATGATCAGTAAAAATTGTTTTTGGATTTCTCCCCGACATTACCTTTAGAAAAGTTTCAAATAACCAACTGAATGAGTCAGTTATCTAATCATACATTAGCGAAGCTCCAAATATTACGGTTTCCCTATGGTGATTAAATCCAATGAATACTACAAAAGGTGGATGTGCTTTATTGACCTTATAGGTTGTATCAAAAGTCATAACATCTCCAAACAAGCCATAATCAATTATCATCTTTGCGTCCGCCCAAAAGATATTTGTTATTTGTTCTTCCTTATCTAACTGCGCAGCATAAAAGAACGAGAGGTTTTCAATGATTGCTTCTAAAAATATCTAAGTAAGCTACCTATATTGCCAAATTCCAAATATCTTTGCCTTCTAGACCTTAAATAATTCTTTTGGTCCTATTTGGTGTACCTAAGACATTCTCTTCCACCAGCTTATCTTCCCATCAATTCATAAGTAGATCTAAGTGGTATTCCTGAATCATTTGTTAACTCCATTTCAGTAGCTTGAGTTGAAGAAAATCTTCTTTGCGATGGCACCACATGGGTGCATTCTTCCATAATCAACTTATGGTTATGCGTTTCCATAAACTTATCTACCCAAAATTTACCAATTTTATTTATCTAATTTGATACGCATCGAAGCAGGACAACCAGTCCTAGTTTCAGCTCTAGGGTTCTTTATGAGATAGTCACGCTTATCTTTCCCTCAAAAACCCTCCTTATTATAAACAAGTAATCTCGAAGTAACTTCCCCAGGTCTTTGCTAGCATACTCTTTCCTGATGCTAAAACCAATTTTTCCTCCGTAAGCATTATAAAAGTTGTAAGCATTTTCCACAGAATCAAATTCCATCTCATACTTGGGTTTCCATTCAATATCAACTAAGGACCCATCAATTCTACAACAATACTGCTCCATTCAAAACCAATTAAGAAATATCCTCTCAGCTAACCAACTAAACAATTAACTAACTAAAGATTGCAACAATCTGTTAATTGAAAAAATAATTAATTCAAAGTCATTAGCAAAAATCAAATCAAAGGCACAAAAGGCTAACACCATATAATTAACAGTAATAGGAAAAAAAAAAAAAAAAAAAATCCAAACTTCATGACTGTTATTGTTAGCTAACTAATAACAAATTTTTTTGTCAATAAGATATTCACACATGCTAGTGGGTTTGTGTTTGAGGTTGAACAAAAGCACTGATCAATTTCTTTAAAAAATGGCATTATCAGTAACACAACAATACACAACAATAACGTTAATACTAACAAAAAAAAAAATTGTTCTTTCCAGGTATCAGAATCAACAAATTATAATTTATATTTAACACCCAATAGTATAGTGCAATCCAATTTTACCATGAAACCCACTTAAAATTCTAACAAACACTACCATATTATCAAATTAAAAGATACAAAAAGTAGTGATTCTACACCAAATTCAATTAGCATGAACACAAAATGGTGCCTTGTTTCATGGACAATCCATGGAGTAGATTAGTATGAACACAAAATCTATCCACAAAGAAGCATGCATATCGTAAGTGCACTAAATGGTTTTAGTATTTTCTTTCCACACCTATTTATTCTCCACACCTATTTTCTCTTCTCTCCACACCCATTTATTCTCAACACCTATTTTCTCTCCACGATATGCATGCTTCTTTGTGGATAGAAGTGGAACTTATATATTACGATATGCATGCTTCTTTGTGGATAGATTTTGTGTTTATACTAATCCACTCCATGGATTGTCTATGAAATAGAGCACCATTTTGTGTTCATGCTAATTGAATTTGGTGTTGAATCACTACTTTTCATATCTTTTAATGAATTTAAAAATATGGTGGTGTTTGTTAGAATCTTAAGTGGGTTTCATGGTAAAACTGGATTGTACCATACTATTGGATGTTAAATATAAATTATAATTTGCTGATTCTGATACCTGGAAAGAACATTTCTTTTTTATTAGTATTAACGTTATTGTTGTATTACTGATAATACCAGTTTTTTAAGCAAATTGACCGGTGCTTTTGTTCAACCTCAAACACAAACCCACTAGCATGTGTGAATATCTCATTGACAAAAAAAAAATTGTTATTAGTCATCTAACAATAACAGTCACAAAGTTTTGACTTTTTTTTTTCCTATTACTGTTGATTATATGGTGTTAGCCTTTTATACCTTTGATTTAATTTTTGCTAATGGCTTTGAATTAATTATTTTTTCAATTAACAGATTGTTGCAATCTCTGGTTGGTTAATTGTCTAGTTGGTTGGCTGAGAGGATATTTCTTAATTGGTTTTGAATGGAGCAGTATTGTTATAGAATTGATGGGTCCTTAGTTGATATTGAATGGAAACCCAAGTATGAGATGAAATTGGATTATGAGGAAAATGCTTACAACTTTTATAATGCTTAAGGACGAAAAATTGCTTTTAGCATCAGGAAAAAGTATGCTAGCAAAGACCATACCACTCGGGAAGTTACTTCAAGATTGCTTGTTTGTAATAAGGAGGGTTTTCGAGGGAAAGATAAGCATGACTATCTCACAAAGAACCCTAAAGCTGAAACTAGGACTATTTGTCTTGCTTTGATGCATATCAAATTAGATAGAAAAAATGGTAAATTTTGGTAGATAAGTTTGTGGAAACGCATAACCATGAGTTGATTATAGAATAATGCACCCATATGATGCCATCACAAAGGAAAATTTCTTCAACTCAGGCTATTAAATGGAGTTAGCAAACGATTCAATAATACAACTTAGATTTGCTTATGAATTGATGGGAAGAGAAGCTGGTGGAAGAGAATGTCTTGGGTACACCAAATTGGACCAAAAGAATTATTTAAGGTCTAGAAGGAAAAGATATTTGGAATTTGGCAATACAGGTAGCTTACTTAGATATTTTCAGAAGCAATCACTGGAAATCCTTTCGTTCTTTTATGCTGTGCAGTTAGATGAGGAAAAGCAAATAACAAATATCTTTTGGGCGGATGCAAAGATGATAATTAATTATGGCTTGTTTGGAGATGTTATGATTTTTGATACAAACTACAAGGTCAATAAAGCACATTCACCTTTTGCAGTATTCATTGGATTTAATCACCACAGGGAAACCGTAATATTTGGAGCTTCGCTAATGTATGATGAGACAACTGACTCATTCAGTTGGTTATTTGAAACTTTTCTAGAGGTAATGTTGGGAAAAAGTCCAAAAATAATTTTTACTGATCAGGATGCAACAATGGCAAAAGCTTTATCATTTGTGATGCCTGGAACATGCCAGTTGCTTTGTACATGGCATATTATATAAAATACAGTGAAACATCTCAGCGGTGTGTTAAGAGGTTTAGTTGATGTAAAGACTATTATAGGTAAATTCATGGACTTTTACGAGGAAGAAAATGAGTTTATCAAAGCTTGGAATGACATGTTATCCAAGTATAATTTGCATGAAAACACTTGGTTACATAGTATGTTTGAATTAAGAAGAAAATGGGCGAAGGCATATGTAAAATGGGAGTTGTGTGCTGGCATGAGGAGTACACAGCTTAGTGAAAGCTTTAACGCTTCGTTAAAATGTTACTTAAAGTCCGATAAGAATTTGCCAGAGTTCTTCAAATATTTTGAGATCATTGTTCACGATAAGCGTCATAAAGAGTTAGAAGCTGAGTATGCATTGTGCAATAAGTTACCTAAAAGAATGATTAAGGCAAAGATGGTACTGCAAGTAGGTAGTATCTATACCAAAGCAATATTTGAAGAGTTCCATAACCAATTCAAAGAGGCAACTAAGGCTTATATAAATGGTTGCATCGAGGATGGTGGATTTCATGTGTACACTATTATAGTTGAAGGTTAATCTAGAAATTGTGTCAAGTAAAGGCGAGCTCCAATGGTCTATTATCATGTAGTTATGGAAATTTTCAAATGATAGGTGTGTTGTGTAACTACATGATAAAGGTTCTTAAAGATGACATGCATATTAATGAAATACCAAGTGTACATATCTTTAAAAGGTGGACAAGAGTAGCAAAAGAAGGCTTAGTTCAAGACAATCATGGGTGCGATATGAAAGAAGATGCAAACTTAGAAGCAACGTTGCAGTATAAGAAATTGTGTTCTCTATTCACTAACATATCATCTATGACAGCTGAGGTTGATGAATCATGTAAGGTGGCTCTAAACTATGCACAAGAATTGAAAAAAGTAGTTCAAAACATTAGGAAACTTGAATTTAGTGGTGATAATCATGAACAAGGTGATTTGCATTCCTTCACTAATCGGGGTACAAATAAAGTTGGGTATGTTATGGAAATAAATAATGTAATAAATGCCAAAGGCTTAAAGAGAAAGGAATCATCAAAGGGAAGGTGAAGATTCATATCACCAATTGAGAAGGCCTTACAAAAGAAGAGAAAGTCTTCATATCGATAATCTCAGTTAATTCATTTATAAGGCATTAAAGTATTTATTTATTATTCAACGAATTGATTTGAGGTTTGTTTATGATTTTTTTTTTTTTTTTATTGGTTTAGATTGTGGAGAAACATACTAGCTCGTCTCCATATAATTACAACAATGGCTCATCATTCATGATGTATCATAAAATTAATATGAGTGTTTTAAGTAAATGTATAATCACAATTTTTTATTCTTTCTATTAGATAAACTAATATATATTTCTTTAGGACTGTGAGGAACCCAACACTTATGCTTGGATGAGTCAAGAATTTTCACGATGCCAGTCATTTCATCAATACTCTCGATCTTCTAAGAGCCCATTGTTTGCTCTAATAATACGACAACTATTGTTATGCTAAAACTATGTTTACAATAAGGTTCTAATGAGAAAAGTTGAAAATCCTATACAAGTGAACAACAATGCAGTTATTACAGAAAGTAACATAGATAATGATTTTACTACAAGTTCAGTGATGAGTGATGCTAGGGTACTTTTTAAATTCCTAACTTTTTGTATCTTTAATTTTTTGGTACCTTACAATGCATTGTAAAACTATACTGTGTTTTTTCTCTTCTTTTTTCTTTTTTGGCAGACCATTAATCTTAATATCGACAGTTCGGTGTCTACCCCAATAATATCCAGTAGCCTCGATCCTTATTTTCATTATGGAAGTCAGTTTTAAGATGAACAAATGGTAACTAATTTACAATTTAATGTTTTATTTGTGTTATATGAATTGTGTCCTCATCAAATATATATTAATATTAAATTTCAATATTTGAATGTAAGTTATTCTAAATGCAAAAATGGTTGAACTTTGTTGTTATGGCACAAATTTATGCCAAAGGAAGTGTTGTGACAGACTGCCCACCATTACTGTCAGAAGTAGTGTTGTTTGGGGGCTTCTTGGAATTTCATTTTTTGTCAATGCTTGGAATATCCTTCTTTTGTACACTCATAATCTTTGCAATAATGAATGAATGTATTTCCATACTATAGAAGTTTATCTTCTATTGTTTAATGACATCCAAATATTTCAAAGTTCCAAAACTGATCATAAAAGCTATTAAAATGCAAATAATGTTGACAGTTCAATGGATTATGGAATAATGTGCAACATATTACTGACTTGAATTTCTTTACTAAATTTTCTCTTTGAGGGGATTTTGTTTAGAGCAAAGATAAACTGTGAGTCTTATGGTTTAATACCAGGTATTTAAATAAGTCCAATTTTTGGATTGTCATGCCTAGGCAGAGTAATTCTTTGGTTTGGAGATAGATTGTTAAAGTTAGAGATTACAAGGATAATCATAGGGGGCATACCCCAATCAGAAACCATTTCCTAAAACAAGCTAGCAAATACAACAATCTAACTAAAAATGGAATGCAAAAAAAGCTTGAAATATATCTATGGGTTACATATAAAGTTTATATTCTCCACACTCTTTGGCTGTCGAGTTTGTCATACACCAAATATTTCATATCAACAAGCAGTACACCAATGCCCAAGATCTATTGCCAAGAACAACAATACCATTCTTTTATTCCCAATATGTTTCCAATTCATCTTTATTCAACCTTAATTCTAGTAATGTCTTACAATTGCTTTAAATTTTCCTTGGCAACATCTTTTGTCAAAAAAAAAAAAAAAAAAAATCTTCCGTCATTATTTCATTTCTATTCCTCAGGTGCTCAAGCAAAATAATAACTTATTTAGCCAATCACAACTCAAATCTAATCGGACTAGGATTTGTCAACCTATGGTACACCAAGAGTATGAAAAGTAAAAGAAGAATTTCCTGTTTGGCAGAGTGAAAGGCGACACAATAAAGGATTTATTAAACGAGTTAATTTAGACATCAGTGAAGCTGTTGGGTTACAAATTGGGGCGATAGACTGGTACACATTTTAGACCAGAACCTCCACAAACCCTAGTTCGAGATTTTATTCGAATTCTTCTCTCATGCTGCATGAAGGATAATAAGATCGAAGCATATTGTTGAGAGAGATTGAAGAAAGGATTTTCTTGAAAGATGTTCTTGAAATACCGAAACGTGATGTAGGGTATTTGAAACACCCAAATCAATTATCTAGTCTCAAATACCCAAATTAAATTGAAATTTTCGTGGCTTGAAGACATCATTGAAGACCGAGATTTAATGGCAAAGAGATTGAGCGTGAAATGTTCTTTGAGTTATAGAGAATACCCTTGGGGATTGATGGCTAACAAGAGAGGAGCTAGCTAGGGTTTTGTAATACCCCTAATTTTAAAAGGATAGTCTCTGTATATTTTTTAATTGTTTTAATTATGTTGTTAATTCATTGATTGATTTCTTGGCTATTTGTTAATTGTTTATATGAATTAATTGATTATGTGTTTATTTGAAATACCTGTTTAGTTGAATTATGTGTTAGATAATGTGTATTTGTTTACTTAAATGTTATGTGTTTTCTTGTAATTAGTATTTAGGAATTAAATGTTTTAAATGGTTATTTTATTTTATTAATTGTGTTAAGTCTAATGGTTATAATTAGTGGTCATGTGCTGACTAATTGGGTTTCATGGACTACTTGGCTAAGGAGTTTTATGGGTATGGATAATTACCCTATGTATATATATAATTAATTAAATAATATATATTTAGGAAAAGTCCTTTGGAGATAATCTAGGGTATTTATTTTCTTTAGATAAAAATTATATACATAGATTTTACGTAACTTATATTTTTAGTTACCTTTGTAGTGTTTTAATTTTATTTTATTTTTATTAATTGGATGTGGATTGGGAAAATGAATAGGGTTTATGTAGCCTATATATATGTCTCTGTAGGGTTGGAAAAGGGGTTAGAATTATAACACGTATATTTTAAAGAGAGAGAGAGAAAGAAGGAGGAAGAAGAAAAAGGAAGAAGAAGAAGGAGGCTAGGGTTTTATCAAATCCTAAAGGCAAGTTCTCTATTCTACACTTCTCCTTAAATTTGTAACTTATATGTCTCTAGTATAATTTTAGGGATGTTTAAAAGATTAATTAAAATTGGAATCCATGTTTTAATTGATCTAGAATTAGGTTTTATAAATCTTATTTGTTTGTGTAAACTGTTAAATTCATGATTTAATTTGATTATTTTGTGAATTTGTTGCATGCTTCACATGACGTTTTGTTTTATCTGTATATGGATGGAACGTAGAAACATGCCTAGGATTCTTGAAACAAATAAAGATTTAATGCACAGTTAAAATTCTGGGTTGATTCGAGTAACAGTGTTCGGACCGCTGTTACAGTGCTCGAGCCTTGGGGGCAAAGCTCGAGCCTTAGGATGAAAAGCTTGAGTAATTGGTTGTGAAGCTCGAGCAACTGGCTGTAAAGCTCGAACAATTGGTTGTAAAGCTCTTGGGATGTAAAGCTCGAGTTTGAGAGGGAAAACTCGATCAATTGGGATAAAGAGCTCAAGCTTGAAGTAGGATGCTTGACCCTTAGACAGGGTGCTCGAGCAATTGAGACAGAAGCTCGAGCCTTACTTGGTAAAGTCTCGGAAATAGCGTTGTTTTATTTTTAGATTGGATTTGTGGAGTCCTAAACATCAAATAAGGATTTAAATAAATTTTAAACAAAGTATGGAGAATGCTTAAGTGATTGTATAGCAAAATATAGCAATCTGTTTAAGATTCAATATGTGTAGGATATGTGATATAGGAAACTTAAATAAATTATAAGTTGTCCTATTTTGTGTCAGCATTATATATTATTATTATTATGTTTGGATTATTTGACGTACTCCTGAAATTATTACATCAATTGTTGGGTTATGTGGATTAAGTGCGCCAATATGGGATGGTGGCACTCTATG